AAGTCTAAATTTATCTACTATTAAGTATAAACTTCTGAGGTAAGCAAAATAATTATAGTCTTATTAGGGGGGTATACAGTGAGGTCCTATAGGTTACAATATATGCTTAGATATAATAGTGTGTTGAATAGCGTGAAAATGAAGAAATTCGAAGTCAATCTTCTGTATTACAATATGGTCCTATATCTCCCCTTAATATTGATCTATTTTATTGCTAAACCCCGTCCCGCCCCCAAAGGGGGCATCCGGGTATCAGTAAAGACAAACAATTAGATTTTAACAGTAAAGACAAACCGGAAAACAATAAAGACATCCGGGAAACAATAAAGATTGTTTCCCGGATTAATATTGATCTATAATATTCAAATTGGACCACGTATTATATTACCGGGTACTAGTGCATACCACCAGAGGAAATAATTATAAGCGTATTAAGGGGTACGCAATGTGGTCCTATTGGTTGCAATGTATGTATATATATAATAGTGTGTTGAATATCGTTAAAATGAGGAAATTCGAAGTCATTATTCTATATTACAATAGGGTCCTCTATCTCCCTCAATATTGACCTATAATATTCAAATTAGACCACGTATTATATTACCGAGTACTGGTAATTAATCCATTGTAAATGCAAAGTGTAATGTTAAGAGTCACGTGATATATGAGGCTTGAGCAAGGACGCCAGAATTTAAAGTAGAATCACGTGACACGAGACTCTTGTTCAGCCACTCTAGTGAAGCTCCGCCCCTTCACTGCCGACAATTATGTTCTTTGATGTGCTCCCTGGATCGCCTGTGTTGAATCGCGCCTTGGCGAATCTTGTTGGCGTCCCAGATCACGATACGGAAATATTCCCCCTTTAAAGTTAAAAATTTCATTCTCGCTGACCCTCAATGATAATGGCGGTGACTGAGTATTGAGTACAGTAAAGTGCGGCGTGCTCTCTGCTTTCGCTTATTGGCGGCGACTGTAAACAACCTTAACTCAGCCTACTTCTGCCCTGCTAATATTGCCTTGTGCTTTTTCGCATAAAATTACATTGGCTAAAAATGATATTTTTATTAATATTTCATTTATTGTTTTCTTTCATAAATAATTGTTTTTTTATTAATAATATGGGATAACCTTTCGCAAAAATGTGGCACTGTACCAAAAGTAATGAAATAGATGATTATTTTGAAAGTTCGATGTTGTAGTTCATTTACGTCGCACTAGAGCTGCACAATGGGCTATTAGCGACGGTCTGGGAAGCATCCCTGAGGATGATCCGAAGACATGCCATCACAATTTTGATCCTCTGCAGAGGGGATGGCACCCCCACTTCGGTAGCCCAACGACCGGCGCTCGAAGTCGAGCACTTTACGGTAGAACAGTTTAACGAGGACCAATACCGCACACTCTCGGTCCCTACGCAGACTGATCCAAGTGGTCACCCACCCGCACACTGACCGCAGCCAGTGATGCTTGACTTCAGTGATCTGCTGGGAACCGTGTCTTAACGATCAGTCCACTGCGGGACTTGAAAGTTCGAATGTTACTATTAGATTCAAGAGTATTGCGTTTTCTAGCACGGCAGTATTATATTGCATCTTTCTGATATTAGATCATATCTTTTTGCTACCTTGGTTTCTAAAAAAGAGTTTATGTATTGTGGCTTTGGATGGTCTGAGCAATCAACTTGAAGATCTTTTTCCGGAAAAAAATTTGACTTTGTACCGTCAAATGAGTCTATTGAGCGAAAAAAGTTCAAGATCTTCGACATTCAAAGCTACAAATGATGACATAGGCTTTCTATGCAATAAGTACTGTCTCGATGATGACGAAGCCGTTAATGAACTGGAGAACTTCAGAGATCTTTATCTTGAATTGGGAGAAGATGACAGTGAAATTCATAAGGAATATCAAATTGCAGCATCACTGGACACAGAGGAAGAAAGCTCAGAGTCTGAAATTGACGAATCGGATATGGTGGTTCTTCATAAGGATTGGAGGACGTGGGAATTTTTTTCCCCACTGAAAGTAGCTTTCGAAATTTCCGCATTTCCTACAATAACATGCATTTATAAGATCTTGGCCATTCTACCAGTCACAAGTTGTTCCACCGAAAGAGCGTTCAGCAGGCTTAAAATCATCAGAAATAGATTGCGGTCCACCACTGGCACGAAGCGTCTTAACAGCTTGCTGATAATTGCTGCAGAAAAGGATATCTTGCAGAAAATGTCGACAGATCATATTATTGATACTTTTGCCATGAGCTCGGAAGTTTTAAATAAATTATTATTACCAGCCAGTTCTCTTGACTAAAGCATCAATAATATGATTTGTTGAGACTGTTTTAGATGCATCGTGTACGTTTTAACCCTTACAGTCACTATCTTTATTCAGCGATCAAAGACAAATATTTTTGTGTGTCCTGTGCTACTTTTTACCAAATTAAGGGGGAAATGTAAGAAAAAAAAATTATACTTATCTACATAATGAAACAATTTTGTAAAATATAATGTGCATGTTTATTTATTAATTAACAAATATTTGTAACAAATGCATTATTTGCTTTGGTTACTTTTGTACATTGTTTATGAATGAGACTTACATATCCCTTAAAAATAACAATAAATATCAACTTTTTTGTTTATTAGAAAAGTCGTTTGCAGTGAATCAATAAATCTTGAATTTTTTTATTGTTAAAAAATTATTTTTTCTTAACATGGGTAATGAAAATTTGTTTTGAAAAAATATGTTTGCATTCTTAACGGTATAAAGAACCATTTGTATAATTTTTTTGTTATAAAACGGTGATCGGCAGGGCTAAAAAAAATCTCGAATTCATGTCCATTATAATGGACATTTAACTGAAAGGGTTAATTGTGCTGAAATTCCCAATTCTTGTGATGATTGCTGCTTGCCATTTGCTGCATTGTTTGGTAACTTCAATAAACTTATTTTTTAAATTATTAGTTTAAAACTTCTGAGCTCATTAATCTGCAGGTGCCATCAGTAACTTATCATTTATTGTAATAGTTTTAGTCAGCCCATTTTCAATTATTTTTTGTGCCGTCTTTTTCAATTTATTTATTTTTGCTTTAAACATATTTTCAGCATTCGCAATCAGGATCAAGGTCTGCATTTGTCATATTATGAGTAGAATGCAAGCAAAGTAGCACTATTTCGAACAAGCTAACATGGAAGGGGGAAGTTAGCAAATTTTTTAGGGGGGGATGAATGTGCCCAAGAGCTTGGGGGGGGGACCACTAAGTGTACCCCACCAGAGGAAATAATTTCTCTCCATTGCTTTCTAATTATTACTAATAGCTGGTGTTTTGAGGGGATCATTTGGTTGACACTTCAATAATTTTTCATAATTATTTGGTTCAAATGAGAACTTTGATACTAATACCAAGTCAAAGGATAGGTGGCAAAATTTTGAAAAACAGATACATATGCTAAGAAATGTGTAACACCTCCGGTTGATGCATATGTACCTCTGGAGTTATACTTAAGGTATATTTGAGGTTAATTTTGTGGCATTCATTTGCACCCTCTTCAACCTAACAACGTATTTAAATAAGAACCTCTTTCATACCTTTGAAAAATACCTTATTTATATTTCAAAAATGCCTTGATTTTTCAGTAAAGGAAGTTCGTAGACGTGTAACAACGTCCAATGAAGACCGATATTTAATGCTAACGCCTCAGAGATACCAAAATATGAATGCCACTCTTCTTCAACAACACCTTCACCTCGGCTACTGGCACTACAGTTTCAACACAAACTGTCCAAAACCACCTGTACGCTGTAGGTCTGTATGCTTGTCGACTAATGGTGTGCGTCACGTTAACAGCAAGGCACCGTCGCGCTAACAGGAAGTGGATAACAGAGAATGTGAACAGGAGGAGAAATGAATGGTGCTATATTCATTTCTCTGATGAGTCCCGTTTTTCTGTTCATCGCAATAATAGGCGTATCTTCAGATGGAGGATACGTGGCAATAAAATCAATCCTGTGTTCGTGCGCGAAAGTGTAAGATTTGGTGGTAAGGGAGTGATGGTCGATGCTGGTATCTTCATTGATTTGTGCACCGATCTCCATATCATTCGAAATGGAGCCCTGACTGGTCGTCGATTTCCTTTTGGAGGAAGGAATCATGTAAATTGATTGGCCAGAGTTTTCTGTTGTTGTTGCACGCCCCCATTGGCCAGCAGTGCTAGACCAGGTCCATGAGAAGTTTCTCCAGACCAGAGTTTTCTCCAGACATGAACCCAATCGAACATGTTTCTTACAATCTAGGCAGACGAATTACTGGACGCCTACCACCCCCACAAACTCTCCAAAAACTGGAAAGAGTTCGTCTGGTGGAATGAGAGAGAATACTCCAGCCCCTCACTAATAAGCTCATTGTCTCGATGCCTCAAAGGTGTCTAACGCTGCGGGGCGTCAGGGGAAACCGCCTGTTACTAAAAACGATTTTCTTCTAAGGAGACACATTTTTTATTTGTTTTTCTCATATGGCCAAATTGTGTTTTTTCTTTCCTTTTGTACCCAGATGCTCAATAAAACGCATTAATTTTTTTTCTGCCAAACAAATGTTTTCTTTTCTTTTATATATATATCATATAGCCTACTACGTCAGTAGATAATGTATCAATCATTCAAACAATTCTCCAGGTGCAAGATCAACCCACAACCTCAATATCCTTTAATTGTTTTGAGCAGAGTATTTCATTCCAAGACTGTGTTCGATCTATTTTTAAGAGAGTTATTAATTTTAAAACTTCTTCAAATGAAAGGAAATCCAGGGCAGAGCTCTGCAACTCTTTGTTTTGCCACGTTTTACCACTTTACTTTTTGTGACGTCAGACTGTTCTCTCCCATTTGAGTTGTAATAGTGTGATTTTAAACGGTTAACAAATTTTGTCCGCTAGTAGGCGTGTCATAAAATTCCAAATTGTTGGCATTCCTGGGAAGGAAATGAACGATGACAGGTTATTTATTTACTTATTTTTTTTACCTTTTGTTTACTTTTTGTCATATTTTAATTTAGTATTGATTTGATTCTTTTTATTGTTGCATCTGATAATTTGTTTATCACAAAAAATGTTCATCTTTTTGTGTTTCCAGTGTAAATTTTTTAAACTAAAATTATGTGAATCCGTTTGTTACTAGTCCTGTAAGTTTGAATTTATTATTTTTGCTGTTGTATTCCTTTAGGAAGCTATTTGTTTTTTGATTTGTTTCTAACTATTTATTTTCGGAATTGTTTTTTAATCTCCATTATTTTTCCTTGTATATGCAATCTTTGTTTACTTTTTAATGAGGGATCAACCGTGTTTACATTTTTTGCATACCACTTGAAGTTGGATTATTTAAAAAATATTTGCACCTTTTATGCCGTGCTTCAAAAGTTTGCTTCTGATATTTTCCCGTTCATAATATTTAAGCTTTTTAATGACCTACGGGAGAAAATCGCTAATGGATTCTTATTGCAAAATTTGTGGTTGTGGTTACCAATTCTTAAGTTTTACCATCCTATTAAATTTCACTGTTGTAACTGCTAACGTTTGCCCTCGAACTGTTATAAACAAGCTGATACATTATTTTATGTGTTGTAAAATTACAGCTATTATAATCATCTGGTTACTGCAGCCTGTCAAAATAGACGAAAAAAAGTGAATTATTTTCTGATGTTAAAATTTGTCATTACCCGATGTCATTTCTGAAGAATAATTCCTTCAATTAAGTATAATTTTATTATTTTTAAAAAATATGTAATCAAAAGTCTTAAATTATTACGAGATTGGAAATTGCTCACAAAAACTTATTACTTCTTTGGATTTTTTAATAATGAGTTAAAAACAAATCAGTAGTTTTTCATAAGAAGCAAAATATGCTGCTTCTGTTCCTTTTGCCTTTAGTTATGCTGAATATAACAGTTGCCCATTTGGATGTTTGAAAACATAACTTATTTTAAACCACACAAATACGAAGATGTTTTTCTGGATTCATAATTATAAATTATCATTATGAAAACTCTATAATTGTAAAATTTTATTATAATTTTCAAGGAGAGAAAACAGATTTTTTTTTTGAATAAAAGGTGGTATATTTTTTTTTAAAGATGCTGCCTACTAGAATAGAAAAAAAAATCATTAGTTCAAGTTTAAAAAATATATAATGGCTAAATTAAATGATAATTGACACCTCCTCATTCGTATAATTCATTTCTACAAATAATTTAAACTTATAAAGTTTTTTTTAAATATAATCAATTCTTGATAACACAGACTTCAGTTTGGTGAAAGTTTTAATATTTCAAATAAAAAAAATTTCTTATTTATTCAATGCTAAAAATAAAGTCTTAATTTCAACCAATCGAGACTGATTTTGACTGCAACCTCAGATTGAAGTTGTTTTAACTGTTTAAATTTGATTGAAAGTGGTAAAACGAGGTTAAAACCAGGGTTGGGTTTTTGCCGTCAAAAACTGGTTTTTGACATGATAGTGGTAAAAACCGTGTTTTTACCGGTAAAAACCGTCAAAAACCTACTGTTTTCTTTCATTTATGGCATATAGCTGACAATATATTATTTTCACATAATTGCTTTTATAAATGAATGTTGTAAATGATTGCTATTGATTTTGCAATTATATACATGTATTCTTATAGAAGGATATACATTCATATGGAAATATTGTTATATACTTATTGAAAATAGTGATACTTTTATCATTATAGCTTGATTTGCAAAAGATTCAAAATTTTGCACTTCTTACTTGTTACAAATAAACAAACAAACAAAAAAGCTTGGAACTATTAATAAATTCAAGAACTAAAAAAAAGAATTTAAAATTTGGCCTTTCTTAAATATTAGAAATAAGCTAAACAAAACTTTCTAAACTTGTAACTGCTAACAAACTCTAAGTCAAGAATGACTTGACATTTTTCAGTAATGTAATATGCCAAACAAAATGATGCTTGGAAATGTTGAAAATTTTCTTTGGTATCCTAATATTTTACTTCAAATAGTATGTTTTGATATAATCATGTTGGGAAAATGCAAGAATCTTGAATATTCCGNTTTAAAAACTTTTTTTCTAATTTTATTGCCCAGAAATTAATTTTAAATTATAAGCAGTTAAACTCAAATAAAAATACAGTTTTACCAAAACTATGGGTTTTTGACGTATTTGACAGAGGGATTTTTGACATGACGGTAAAAACCATGGTATAAACCGGTAAAAACCTTCATGTGTCAAAAACTTGCCAACCCTGGTTAAAACTAATCCAAATACTTCTGAACAGTCTCAATTTTTCTAATTTTTTTTCGATGATAAGTTGCCTAATAAGTAAGGGAAGAATGTTCATAGTTACAAGAAGATTATTAGCATAAATATAAAATGTGTAGAAATTACATCTAATGAACTGTTGTGTCAGTTCTTCATCAATATAGATTATTGGCTTATTTTTTGTAATCCAAAATAAATTACAAAATTGTCTTAAGAGACAACAGCATAACTTGTTTTTTCAACTCAACAGAACTTACGTAAAAGAGTGTGTGCTAATGTCAAAAAATTACTTAAATGTTTATATTGCATCTAGATGTTATGACATTTCTTTAATTGGTATTGCTTTTGGTGTTACTTATGTTGTCATTTTTCAGCTGTAACTTAGTTTGAAGATTTGCTGGTGAACCACATTTGATTTGTGGATGATTTAATGAATTGAAAAAAAATTTTTAGTGATTTTTATGATTCATTAGTTGACAATTTAATAGGAATTTCTAAAACAGAATCGTTTATGAATTTACTATGGTTACCAAGCAAAAGGATGATGTTTAAATAAGGCTAATGGACAAAGGAACAAAATCTGTTTTAATAGAGCAAAACAATTTGGGATCTTTCAATTGGATTGTGTTAGTGGTCACTCTAATCGATAGCTCAAGGTTTATTTCGTAAATAAGAAGAACACTGGTATGCAATGGACTGTATATCTCTTTATTTTAAATAGCTCACGGACTACGTCCGCCATTTATGAAGTTCTCAAGGTATATATAAATCTTTCACAAAAAGGGTGGCGCGGCAGTCGCACATGCGCGAACATGCCGCCCGGCATTGCAATGTTTCAACATTCAATTAATATGTAATTTAACAAAGCACAATTTGCATTATTTAAAAAATCTTTACAAAGCATTTAGATGATAATTAGTAACATTGATACAAATAAGAAAAAACAAATTAATGATACTTTACACTGCAACCGATCTTCTCATACAACAAATAATCAATTCAAAATGAAATTAAACATAAAAATATTTTTATGATACAGGTAACAAGCATATTTTAGAAATAGACCTCCTAAGGGTCCCGTGCTGGGTTTTCACTTCTACAACTCTGATTTTCTTATCAGTGCCGTAAAACACTTTAATTATTCTTCCCATTAACCATTTATTAGCTTGTAAATTATCCTCAATAATTAAGACTAGACTACCGATTTTGACATTGTCCTTTTCGAATCTCCACTTGCCACGTTGCTGCAGTTCACTTAGGTAGCTTCGTTGCCACTTTCTCCAAATTAATTGTACTAATTTGGTTATTCTTTGCCACCTGGATAACCTATTTTCCTTTAAATTTGTCAAATCCGGTTCAATTATGGCGTTCATTGTTCTCCCTATCAGGAAATGCGCAGGAGTTAAAACTTCTAAGTCGGTTTCATCCGCGGATAGTGGAGTTATCGGTCTACTATTCAAAATGCTTTCAATTTGAGTGGCTATAGTATGCAATTCTTCGTAAGTTAAAGAGGCATTACCTACAGCTCTTTTAAAATGGTATTTAAACGACTTAATTGCTGCCTCCCAGAGACCACCAAAGTTGGGGGCTCTAGGCGGGATAAAATTCCACTCTATGCCTTCAGCGGATAGATAGTTAGCCAATTTTTCATCAGGATTTTTGAATAAATTTAAACATTTTTTTAACTCCTTGTTAGCGCCAACGAAATTCGTCGCGTTGTCTGAAAACAGTTTGGCACATTTGCCTCTACGCGCGATGAATCTCTTCAACGTGGCAATTAGAGACTCGGATGTCAAATCAGAAACTATCTCTATATGCACTGCTTTAGATACAAAACATATGAATAAGCAAATATACACCTTTAGAGAAATTGCTTTTCTTTGATGTTTACATTTAATGAAAAACGGACCAGTTAGGTCAACACCAGAGCAATTGAATGCGAAATCTGGCACAACTCTTTCTCTAGGTAGATTTCCCATTATTTGCGTAGCAGCAATGGGTTTATTTTTAACACAAACAACACAATTATGAGTAATTCTTCTACATAGAGAACGGCCACACAAGGGCCAAAATTTTTCTCTTACACAGTTTAATAAACCATTTGGACCAATATGCAAATATTTAAGATGATATGTCGAAATAATAACAGAAGTTAAAGGACTATTTTTAGGGAGTATTGCAGGATGTTTTTTAAGAAAATTCAATTCAGTGTTACCTAATCGTCCTCCAACTCTTAAAACTTCATTTGAATCTAAAAGAGGGTTCAAATTTCTTATCTTACTCGTAGGAGACACCTTCCCGTGCAGTTTGAGACTCCGAATTTCTGATCCAAATTCCTCGTTCTGTATTA